AAATGTGCAAGAGCAACTGTTTTGTAACATCTTATTTCATTGAATTTTCATGCATTGTCTAGCCTGTTTCTCCTACTCTTTGTTCTGGCTCATTTATACTTAAAACAGTTCTATATCCAGTCACAACTGCTGGGGTAAATTGTAATGATTTAAAATGTTTGACTTTCACATTTCCGCAAATTATTTTTATGTAACTTGAGACTATGTAATAGATGGACTGGTTCTTATATAGCGCTTTTCTACTCTTCTGAGCACTCAAAGCGCTTTACACAACTTGTGCATTCACCCATTCACACCCATTCGCACAAGCACATTTCTCTAGGTGCTTTCTAGATAACATTCACACACATTCATACTCCGATGGATGCATCGGAAAGCAATTTGGGGTTAGTATCTTGCCCAAGGATATTTGGCATGCAGACTAGGGGAAGCCAGGAATCGAACCACCAACCTTCCGATCAATAGATGACCTGCTCTACCACCTGAGCTACAGCCACCCTAGATGCGAACATATATTTTGGTTATATCACAGATGTTAAAGAAGTCCGCAGATCTCTGCAGCATACACATGGCCCATTCCATATGTGACTATGAAAGTTATTAACCTTCTTGACTATTTTCCAAGAAATGTAAATCAGAAATACAACATTAAAACCTATAAACGGCAACAATGAAGCACTCTGTGAAATGGAAATAGAGGGCCTAGAAAACAATCATGTCATCTGTACTGCTGCTCTTTGCCTCGTTCAGCTGATTGCAGTGAAAATCTGAGTAAATAACTGGTGTGAAGAAGCATTTCTCTGGAAATTCTACCACAAAGTGCAGTTAAAGTCTCAAAGTCTTATTCAAGTCCTACATTTGGCAAAGCTTTTTGCCAGCTCTTTGGTTGGAGAAGATTGGTGTGTACAATGTATGCAGATAGTAATGCGGTACAGCAGTAGTCAGGGATTAAAATGCGTAAAACCTTTAAATTACACATAAGCTGCAAGGATCGTGACCAGCATTTGTTAAGTCATGGTTCTTTGTCTGTGTGCTTTTATTGTACTCCCAAATCAAGATGTTGTTTAAGAGCAAAAGCATTTCTAATTGTTCATTACAAAGTCAAATCATAGCTGTCTTTATGGGTCATTTACCAGGTTAAACTGATCTGCTGACACGTGAAAGCTCTTGCTGTGAAAATCACTTGATTGATTATAGAAGTGCTTCTAAATTTACCTCTGATTACCCCCAAGAGAGTTAAGGAGGCTAAAAAAGTAGCATTTAACAGTAGCCCAAGGCAGCATTATTTTTAAACCTTACTATAATGACTGTACCATACTGACAATTCAGGAGGGTTGAAATGTGCTTAATGACCCAGTCACACTTGTTTCTGCACATCAGTGGGCTGGGCAGAGATTGTGTTAGGGTCGCAGTGGCAGACTAGTACAGTCTGAAGTGCTTCCCTCATTAGCCACAAAAAGGGAAAAAGTGCACATCTGTCTTTGACTCACTCATCTTCCACTCATAAAAATCTAAAAACTCCCAAACAATAGAGTTTTTTTAATGTAATAATTTCTCTAACAATAATAAGAAGAATAATCACTACTGTGAAAGTCTAAATGTCCTGCATGTGTGTGTACTACAGTACACTATTGCAATATACAGTGCATCCGGAAAGTATTCATGGCATGTCGCTTGTTCCATATTTTGCCATGTGATGTTTTTCCAAAATGGATTAAATGTATTTCCCACCACAAAATTCCAAAGACAATACCCTGTAACTGAAACAAAAACACCTTGAAAAAAACAACAAAATTATAACAGTATTATACCTATAAGTGAATAACTTTAAGTATCCACAGCCTTTGCTCAGTACTTTCTTGAAGCTCCTTTGGCAGCCATTACAGTCCATGTTTTTTTGAGTTTGGTGCACCAATTTTTGGGCAGTTTCTCCCATTCTTCTTTGTTGAACTTCTCATGCGCCATTTTCAGATTTCTCCACAGATGTTCAGTCAGTTTCAAGTGTGGGCTCTGGCAGGGACGTATGAAAATAAAGCCACTCAGTTGTTATCTTGACTGTGTGCTTAGGGTCGTTGTCTTGTTGAAAGATGAACCTTCACTTCAGCCCGAGGTTCAGAGTGCTGTGGAGCAAGTTATCATCAAGGATGTCTGCACATTCCTGCATGTATCTTTCCCTTGACCCTGACTACAGTCCCAGTTCCTGCTGCCAAAAAACATACACAGAGCATGATCCTGCCACCACTGTGATTTCACCTTTCCAAATCATGTCCAGTCAACTGAATTTACCACATGTGGACTCCAGTCAAGTTGTGGAAACATCAGACAGATGATCATTGAAAAGGATGCAACCGAGCTCAGCTTTGAGTGTCATGTCAAAGGCTGTGAATACATGTAATAGTTTGGTTTTTTATGTTTAATACATTTGCAAAATTTCAAGCAAACTATTTTCTCTTTGTCATTATGGGGCGTTGTGTAGAATTTTGAGGTGACTAATGAATTGAATACATTTTGTAATAAGGCTGCAGCATGACAACATGTAGAGCAAGTGAAGGCCAGTGAATACTGTACTTTCCTGTTTAATAGATAAAAAGCGTGTCTCTATTTATTTCTATTTTTTATAGTATTTAAAATTGAAAAGTGGTAAAATGGTGTAAAATGGTATGCTATAATAATATCAGACCAAGGACCATTATCTTTGTGCCAGAACTGCAGTATTAAACAGCCTGAGATAAAATCACAGAACAACGTCGTTTCTCAGTGAACCTTTTTTTTTTTTTAATGTAGTCAGTAGGTGATAAAGTTAATTTTACAAAGACTAATGGTGCATCAGAGTATCCAGGTACATTTACTCCTGTATAGATCTGTGGAACTGTGTGAAATATCGTAAACTGGTAAAATTAGATATTAGGTCACTTGTGAATTCACGTGACAAGAACAAAAGTGACCTTGGGAAAAAAAGAAAAGAAAAAAAAAACATTGCTCCATGATGTTAGAGGTCAAAAATTCCACAGAGAACAATTAAAGGCAATCGGTACGGGTTTACACACAATTTAAGATCAACCTCTACTATCTCTATAAAATTGCAGACTGTGAAGACGCAGCAATTTTAGTACCAGTAGGGAGGTCAAGGGCAAGATAACGTGAAAGGTTCTTCTTAAAACAGACTGATCTCAGTAAACTGATATCATTATGTGACTGTTTGATTCTTCATCTGAAGCACTTGATCATGTTACTGAAGCAAAGCTCAGTAAAAATGGTCTCAAATTAATTTGAACATCTGGCAAAAATCACTTTCCTCAGTGCAATAGTGAGCAATATGGTGGTATAATTTCCAGTATCTCTTGATCATTTCCCATGATCCTATGATGTATTTAAATAGCTTTCTTGCTGTTCAAAAACACTTCATGGCTTTGTGATCATAGGCAGCAAACTAAGAGTTGCCTGTGTAATCTGTCCAACTATTAAAAGAAACTCTTATTTGCTCCAAAACATATTTTTTCATACACATATGCTCATGTTTAGTAGTTTATTAGCCAATTTATTATTATTATTATTATTATTAGTAGTAGTAGTAGTAGTAGTAGTATAAATTAGTATAAACTATAGTAAGTAAAAATTACTTGATGAGTAAATCAATCCCGTAGCCGATTCTTTCTAATTTGCATTTGAAAATATTGCAGTCAAATCTGCAATATAAGAGAATTCAGAATCCATACAAAATTGGTATAATATCCCATTGTCACAGTAAAATCAGTTAAGTGGATGGTAGGATCCAATTTCATTTCATTTGTCACAGCAAAGTCTACAGATGTTTCATTTTTCTTTCATGTCACATTGCTGATAAACAAAAAACAAAATATTAGAACTGTCTAGGGGTCTAAACACCCCTAAAGGCAGCTTTTACTGATGTTGCCATGTTGTTCTGATTCTTTTTATTGGAATATATTATTTGATTGTTTTTTTTATTCATATAGAAAACAAACCAAATTGCAGATATCATAGAGTCAGTATTTTCAGTAAGCTAGAATGGTATTTGCAAGCTGAACCTTTTTTAAGCTGTCTAAGGCATCAGCAGTAAGTGTTAGATGTTGTGTCAGAGCCTCAGAATCAAAGAGAAAGAACTTCTTTTTAGATGCACTACTTTGCACAGATGTTGAACAACCCTGCAGAGAGAAATCCATCACAGAAGTTGCAGAGGAAGAGAGCCCAGATTCTCAACCAGTGGAAGCCATGGCAATCATGATTGCAAACATGATCAAAAACATTTATTTTATAAAACTGTATTTCAAAGTACTCATTGAAATGAAAATGTTTACCCTAGTGCCAGTGTTTGTCCACCTTTGACTGAGACAAACACGCTTTTCTCTGAGTCCCTGGGGATAATCTAATGGCTTTTGGCAAACACAGATAATCAAGAAAATTAATCAAACACAGACAGAAAGGTGAAATCGTGATCATTTAATTAGAAAACATTCAAGTTACCTACAGATGTGTAAGAAAATAAAGGACAATCTTAATTGCGCACCCCTGAGGTGAGCCACTGTGGGAGAAAATTTGCTGGGATGATCTCATTTTCCCTCCAATAGAGAACTATTATATTGTTATGAGTGACCATAGTCATCCAGGGTAAGTACTTATATCTTGAGAGTTGTCTACAAGGGTTACTGAATGGTTTGGTAAGGAAGAAAATCCAGTAAAACAATAATGTAATTATGTAAACCATGGTCAAAGCAATCACAGGCTCTTAACAGGAGATTTTTAATTCAACATTGCAAACGATAGCACTGCCAAGCCTCACTAATTTGAGATTTAAAATGGAAAAATAATATACACCAAGGATGATATCATTATATTTGTTTAAATGCTACATTTAATAGCATTTTTATAGATAACTGTGTAGAGACAATGCAATTTTTCCCTTATATTTTTTTCTGTCTGTATATACCTTATGAATGTGTAGTGTGATTCAGCCAGCTTTAGATAATATTTTGATGACTCACCTCTTGCTGTAAATCCTTGATGATTTTGGTTTTTTTCTCCATCTCCACTTTAAGAAATTTAATCTGAAGACAGGGAAGACAAAAAAAAAAAGGTAAAAAGATGATCACATAGAAAGTCCAGCTGTATGCATGTGTGCTTTTTTCCATCAGTGAACATATTTAATGACCGTTATGGATGATGAGTTTGCCTAGTGTATGTGTAATTAATTTCATTCAACAGATGCAATTCTGTATGTGAATAAAAGCCAAAGCCTATTTGTTCCTACTGACAACATCCTATAAATCTTGAAAAATAGGTCTCATATGCTTCATTTCGAATGAAATATAAAAAAAAATAAATGTATTTTCTACATTTTTTAAAATCAAATAAATGCAAGTCAATGTTTTTTTCCACTTTCTACCAAGACATCCTGGGGAACTGTAAACTAGACCACAGCAGGTGACTCACATCTCCAACCTGACCGTGATAACATCAATATTCAATCATTGTCACTGTCCCTGAGAAGACCTAGAAAAAAGACATACATACATACAGAACAGAGAAGGAAAGAACATTCTGGCTGACTAATTATGCCCCTGAATAAAATTATTTTTCACACGTCATCCATGCTTCTATGCAACAGCACACTGACTGTTTCTGAATATTCCAGTGCGGGCCTTAAAAAATTGACTTAGCCTCCAGTTAAACTATATGAAAAGGCAACATAAACACCGTACCTTACCATAAACTGATGCAATTAGATATAAAATGACAGTAGCAGAGGGGCACTATAAGTAGGTAGTTACATTTAAAATCACAAATGCTGTCTTCTTTTTTTTAGCTTTTTAGTCAACCACAAAGGCCTGAAGACCTTTAAACTTTGACAAAAAAACACATTATATTTTTCTTGTGCCTTGCAGAATTAGTTAGAATTAGGCATAACAAGTGCTCATCAAGAGCTTGGTTTGTCTTTCATTTTTCAGTTAAAATTAGAGTGTGCCTGTGGCATGTGTGTTTGTGTGTGTGGTTGTATGGACTTGTAGCCATACAGAGATTGAAAAACCAACCAGCAAACTGCTGCCATGGGCTACTATATATCTAAGCGAATAAATTCAGTGTGTAAGACAGATAGGTTACGGTTTTGTCTTCGAGTTTTCAACTCTAAAAAAAAAAAGGTTTTAGCAAAATCCGTCCTTGAAAGAGGTCATCAACATAGTCCTGAGGACAAAGACGAAAAGATTCATGGGTCTGGTGCCCTCATGTCAGGTACATACCCCGGGGAACAGTAAAATAAGCCTCACCAGTTGACTCACATCCCCTAACAAGGCATGATAACATCAAGGTTCATGTCTGAGGCTTGCAGTCACCACCAATGCCCCCAGGAATGGTTAAAAAAAGAAGAAAAAAGGAAAAGAAAAACAACTTCTACAGTGCTTAGATATTAGGATAAGATAAGGGAGTACGGGTCGGCTATCTATCTATCTATCTATCTATCTATCTATCTATCTATCTATACATATGAAATAGTATTTCAAATGTAACCAAATATTAATAACAATAATAACAATTGATAATAATTAGTCATTGTAATAGTTGTAGCTAAAATATTTCTTAAGATATATCTGATATATCTCTGCTTATGGCAATAAACTGTCTGATGTTGAGATTGGCTTGAATGTAATTACCCATATCTGTCAACAAATATTTAGCAACTTTGTAATGTGTGTTTTTTTGTGATTTTGCGAGGTATATGCTTCTCCTTATGGTTTTATTTTTCACTAGGAACTTTTAGAAGCCACGTTTTCTACTAGATAGATTATTTTATTGTTTTGTTGAAGATGTGTAACTTTTACATCCTGCTGAGGTGCTATTTTGAATCTTAAATCTTAGAAAGTGGAAGTAGAAAGTAGAAATACATATCACTTTTCAGAATGTAAATGTCAAACCACAAAAATCAGACACTGGGGTTTGTCACCAGGCAAAGGAAAATGGCACACACGTCATTGGAAATGTTACTGTACTTTTGTTTATCTCGCTGCGAGTCCATGATTTGATTGTCGATTGTAATGTCACGGTGCCCATTAAACGCTGTGACTGTGCATAAGAAGCCTGCACTGTTACAGGCCAGATTTTCATTAGCATATATTGAAAGTCCTAGAAGCATTCCAGTACTGTAGCTGTCAGTGCAGCTAGACAGGATTTATGCTGATTTGTTGATAAGGAGTAAGTGGAGGAACAAGAGAGGGTTTCTCAGAACAGCATGAGAGTAGAAATGTGGGCCAATACAGTAAGGCACAGCACATACAGTGTATTAATGCAGCATCACCGCCGATGCCAAAATACATTTTTTAATCTGAATTCTACAAAAGGCCTCTCAGAGCAAGCACATTAAAATGAGTACTTATACTAATCATGATGAAGAAATTAAAGTTTGTCTTAAATTAAGGCTGCTTTCAACCTTACCTGATACCAAATGCAGTAAAGCTGCTGAAACTAAATATAGAATTCTCCACTGTGTAATAATTTAAAGGTGTAAATACTCATTGCTTCTCATATTGTTTGGTAGCAAAGAAACATTATTTGAACTCCTTAGAGGTGCATTTCTTTTAATTGGTTCAGTAATTAAAATATTGTGATTTTATTTAAACTGGAGTTAACAGAAATGATGTTTTCCACTGACATCAAAAATATTTTATCATTAAAATGTAATTACTTTTCACGTATCTTGTAACACATGTTGCATGCTTCCATGGTTTGCATATATATTTTAAATAATCACAAAATTAAACATGCTTTTGTTGTGTTTTGAACTGAAATAGGCATATTTTGCATCTCCTGTAACATTGGCAATTAAAAACGGAGTATCATCTGCATATGTTGTTATCTAACATGATGCTGAAAATGATTTGTTTATTTAGTAATTAACAGAAAACTAATCACTTCCAATTTAGATAATCGGTTGACGATAATAATTTTAGACCTTTGCTTACTTATTTTTTTAAATGATAAAATAGTAAACTTGCCACCTTTGAACTCTGGACTTCTGTTCGAACAAAATAATAGCTGACACAAAGCTTTTGTTCACTCTGAAAGTTTCAATTATATGGTGAAGGATAGAGGCGGGAGCTTGCTGCTGGGTAATGAGTGTGGATCAGCGAAGGCCCCGTGTGACAGGTGACAATGCTGGTTAGACAAGACCGGATGTTGATGGTCAGGTCAGCTCTGTCTTACCGTGGCCTGCTGCTTCTCCGCTTTCTCATTTGCCTCATCCAGCTGCTTCTGCAAGGCTGCCTGGAGGGACTTCATCTCCTCTCTGTCAAGTGAAAGGGAAGTGAGAAACACTCTGTTAGTACTTCCTCCTCACATTTTCAGATGCCTTGACTGCTCTACCACAGAATGGCCTTCTTAGATATATCACTCTTAAAAGCAATTTTTTTGGACAGAAGTAAATTTTACTAATGTCTTTGTCACCAGCTTACATCTGCTGTCATCTGTGATTGTCAGTTGGATGATTTTTATTATGAATCTATGAGCAGGATATGAACAAATTCATTAATTTGAATCAAAAGGAAATATTTTGTTTACAAACATATTTTTTAAGATAAAAACATAATTAGCTTAATTTATGAATGGATGATGCAATAATGGGCCGTGTAACTGCAACTCACACTTTGGTTCATAGCAGCCACACATCTTTCTTCGATCCTAAACAATTTCACATGTATTATCATTTAATGATTTTGTTTGAATTTAAAATGCCTGACTACAGTCAATTTAATTTTCTATGTATATGATCTATAAATGTAGAGTTTAGCAAACATTCCCATGAAGCCAACAGCAAGAGACGGCTGTTAGGTTTAAGGAGAAAGACGAGATACAAGAAGACCAAGTTTGCTGCAATGCACTGCACTGCTATACTGCTTCTTGCAGTGTATTAAAATTCCCTGAATTTTACGGTTCATGTGGTGTGATGACTAATGCAGAATGAATTATGTGTTTAACATAAAATTAAATTTTTATGCATTCGACTGTAATTTGTAATTCAGTATAGTTTGGTGCTCCTGAGCACAGATAACAGGGAATTCTAAATCAAGGAGGCAGGGGATGTGGGTCAGTGGTACCAAAAACGCTTCTAGAAATCACATCACAAGGTAGGCCAGTTAAAATTATAAGTAACAGCCTATTTACTGTTTCCAAGCATGGCTGAAGTGTATGACGTATGTCACAGTCACCCAGTAGTGTAGTTAGGGGACATTATCTTTCAAGGCAGTACAGCAACACTCAGAGTGGAAAGGATGTCACTGCTCAGCAGTCATACACTGTTATACTTTATATGCCAGTGGTCTTGTCTCTTGGCATAAGTTCAACCTAAAAAACATTTTTCTTCACAGTGACCAACCAACCACCCTTGCTTTGGTTTTCCATTTATATTCACATCCCCTGCATCCAAAACTTGGAAGAGTTTGTACATAATATATCAAAACTGTCTAAACTGCCAAAAGAGAGACAGTAAATGTGACACAGGCTTGAAGAGTCTGTGATAAGTAAATACAAAAAGGGATGAAAGTAAGTTAAGCTATTTTAATTGCTATTTAAAAACTGTTACATTTTTACCAATAACTTTTTTTTTTTTTTGCATTGCTCTTTGGATCAAAATTATTTTCAGGAGCCAATCAAATTTCTGTTAAGACTTGACAAAAGTAAATGACCTGCAATGAATCACCTGTCTGCACTCCCGATAATGGAGCCAGCTGGTAATCACACTTGGCAGACACTGGAACTCTAAAGGTGGATTAATAACACATTGAAAAAGTTGTGGCTCACAAATGCTAGGTAGGCAACATTGAGCCAAGCTACTGCTTTATAGTTTTTTAGCTTGATGACATGTGAGAGCTGCCATGGACTTCTGATAGGCTATTGATTGGCTACCCAGATACTACACACACACACATAGCTGGACTTCAGTCAGGCTGACATTTCAGGGAGGATGAAGGCCATGAATGACTCCAAATCATTAGCAGTCTCATTACACACAACATTAATCAGACAGTCCTAACTGGTAAAGCACTTAAGCTAAACACTTTTTCAGCTCACTAAAAAAAAAGAAGCTCTAAATCACAGATGCTTGCTTTTTCGCAAAATGAAAACAGGCATATCATTTTTAAATACACAAGACAGGTTTGTGATTGAATTATGAATTATCTACCTGCTCCTGTGTGTACTGGAGACACACTGGCCAACACCTGAAAAGTACCATCCTCAATAACAATGAGCAAGTCATTACTTATCATTATTTATATCCATTAGATACCTGATGGTCATGATGTGATTATGCAGACACCATTTTTTTTTAAATCTTCATATGACAATACAAACAGTGTTTTGTTCACATGACAGAATTTTGTTTTTCTTATCAATTATATTCACCAGTAAATATTATACAGTGTGTAAAAACACTGCAAAACTTAACATGAAAGAATCGCATCACCAAAAGACTCTACAGGTTTATGCAGCAACCACCAGTTTGCATTCCTCTCGCCTCTTGGACCACTGTGTGATTGAAGTGTTTTGTGATTTCAGACAGTTCGGTGGACTGAATATTGTACAACTAGCTGCTGGAATGCATTTGAATTTCCCAGGGCTTATCGTCATTGCTGCTGTTGCAGTTGGTTTCTATCATCAGCTTACGTAGAAGTCATCCAAATAACTGGGTGTGAATTAATGGTTCTATACCATCCACTGCGCCACAAACTGGACACACCTGAGCTCAGAAGCCTCAAGGACAGATACAGAAACTCTTTACCAATTAATACCAGATATTCGTATATATTCATTTTAGATTTAAGACCCTGACTGTATGATATTTAGATTTATTTACTTATTTTTTTACCCGGGTGTGTTTTCTATTTAATCGAGCTCTTTTTTTTCTTTTCCAAGCTATTTTGTTCTGTGGTACTGTGTTTATTGAGCTATGTTCTTTTTCATGTGCTGGCAGCTGAAACACAGCAATTTCACAAGCTTTGGGATAAATAAAGTATTTCTTATTCTTATTACTCTTATTTCAGCAGAGAAAATGTGCTGGCATGTCATGTTGGCATGGCGGTGGCTATGATGATTACTATACTATACTCATAAGCCTTTGTGGGTGCTGTTGCTAAGGAAGAGCAACTAGTCACACAAACAAATCCAAATGAAAGCTATTTAAACTCTTTGTGGTTGAAATTCATGAACTAAACAAATCTTAGTTGTTGAAGTTCACTCCAAGTCCAGGATCGAAACGCAAATTGGTTGTCAGTTTTCTCAGAACTGTAAAGTTTGGTTTGCACAGCTACATGTAACAGAATCTGAGGATGTCACTAGATGATTAACCCTTTAAGACCTACCATAGAACCAAGTCCGCCAGAGCTTATATTATATTTTTACATGCTGTAGTGTCATTTTTGGGAGCATTTCAAGTTGATATACATCAATACAACCATTATAGGCCAAATTTTAATAATATGTATGCATTAAGTGTATAGTAATTACATAAATTGCAAAAAAGTGAAATAAACTACAAAAAAATTGAAAATCGTTTTTGTTTTTTAACATATATTTCTAGTTAGAGAAATTTAAGAGGCTTATCCCTCAAAACTGTAAATATAAAAAAGTTGCACAAAATAGTTTCCCACCCCAGGAAATTTATTTTTAGTGTCTTCATAGTTTTGTTTTTGGAATACACCAATTTTTATATACTGCAGGAAAAACAACATTATAATAAATAAGTATTATAATGCAAATTTGCAAAAAAAAAACAGCATGTGCATCAAAAGAAACTATTTCCAGCAGTGCAATATGAGTCCTAAGCATCCAAGAAATGACACAGAAAGTCATAAAGTCAAACATAACTTTTAAAAACACCAGTATAGGCTCATAAGGCCTTGATGGTAAAAAACTACATTTCCGCAAAATGACGTCACTTCAGGTTTCGGCAGGTCATGGTGGACATGCCATAGTTCGCACTGATGGACTAGGAAGTGTTATGAACAGCTGATCGGATCGGCCAAGCGTGTTTCTGGAATATTATGTTTTTGTTGCTGCAAGTGCTTTTTATGCAATTTTTGTAAAAGCTATATGTGGACCTAGCACAAGCTGATGGCATAAGATGTAAGTACAACTCCTCCAGTTTCATATGCAAAAAAAATTATTGCGCTAGCTTACGTGGTTGCAGTGCTACCGGGATTTAAAAATAGTTACGCAAAACGGAGCGTGCCCACTCCCACCGGCTTTAAAGGGTTAAGACTGAAACGTGGTGTAATCGTGGATATGCTTTTGCAGCTTGAACATTAGGAATGTATCTGTGAGCTATGAATAACCAATGGATCCTTACCACCCTTTTTATCTTATATCTTCATCAAAAGCTTCTCCTATATTTTCAAATACACTTGAAAACAAATAAAAATAAATAATAAAAAAGAACCTGTTATTATCTTGTTAATCTGAATACCAGCTTAATACAGGACATTCACAAGAGGTTCGCAACCACAGCATAACAGGAGACAGCGCATGATTTTATTTATCATTATGCATTTTTTACTGATGGTTATTAATTTCTAACCTAATTTTTGATGGCAGTTTAGTGAACTGCACAGCACTGTTGGTAGCTCATGTCTAAGTCATGCATGATGCCCCACTTTACCTCTGTTTGTGGCTCAGCTCCAAAATCCTCTGCACATCTTTCTTGGCTACTGTGTCATCATTTTTCAGTGACTGAAAGAGAACAGAGACACTGTGTTTTTCCAGGAATGGCACAATTTTTTTTTGTACATGAAAAACTTCTGAAGGAAATTTACTTCATATCACCATCAACAGAAAATGGAAACAAATATACAGTATAAAAAAGCACGTGTAAGCATTTACTGTATGCGTTTACTGTTTGCTGTGACATTTATTCTGCGGTACACATTACAGAATCTTGCCAGGTTTTCTGAGGTGTCTGTTAGAAAACGATGCAGCAGATGTAAAATGTTGAGACACCTCTATCCCTCCTCCCAAATTATATGGCTTTTAACAGTCTGCTGATGAATGTCCTAATGAGGGTACATGCAGAAGCACAGATTGGGTTCTACTGGTGCCTCAGCACCTGCCTGATGGGTAATTATGAATTAGTCAGGTCTCTGATTGCCCTACAAGCCCTCCAAGAAATTTTTGTTTGTTATGAACAGAACAGAAATGTACAGACTTGTAAGAAAATGTGGACTCCAAGGGAGAGATAGTTTATCTTTACTTGTGCTTGAAGGTGATATCTATGGCAATTAACGCCACATTTCCATAATGCCTGAAACAAGCTCCTCCCCAGCGCCTGACTCCCATTTCATGTTAATCTATGAAGAGAAATAAAGAAAAAAAAGAGGGAACAGCATCTGCTTACAAGAGGCAATGTATCTGCACTCAAGTAAATAAACTAATGGTGTAATAAAGCTGCACATTTAGTATATCTGAGTGGCATTTCAGTCATTTGTATGATTTGTCAAAGAGTCACGAGCTGAATGGACAGATTTAAATTCTTCAAATTTGGTTTGTTTTCTATTTATTTTGACTCCATGTTTTGTTGTATTCAAAATCAAATGGCAACATGTGTTTTGCTTTATTGTAATTATATAATAACAAACACTCATCAGCCACTTAAGCTACTTAGATACACCTGATGATCTGCTTGTTAAAGGTACTTTAAAGGCTTGCAGACATGTTCAGGATGACCTGCTTAAATTCAAACTGAGTGTCAGTGAATGTGGCATTGCTATTAAATCCACATGGGTTGGTCTGAGTATCCAAAACTGCTGATCTACTGGAATTTTCCACAGAACCAACTCTAGGGTTTACAGCAAATTGCCCAAAAAAGAGCAAATATCCAGTTAGCGGCAGTTATCTGGATGAAAATGTTTTGTTGATGCCAGAAGTCAGAGGAGAATGGCCACTTCTTTAAGCTGATAGCTTGATAGATAAATGAAATAACCTTATTATAGGCAATGTATGAAGAAGCGATCTCTCACAACAACTGAAAACATCATAAAATAAATATTACAAAGCTTTATGGACCTGTCATGGAAGCCATGTATTTACAGTATGGTTTCACAGGTATGTGCCAATATTTAATAAAAGATACAGCATAGTAACACTGTTTTTAATTGTTTGAATTCGATTTCTAATACCGATCTCTCTCGGGTGGATTGCTTTAAAGCAAATGGGCTACAGCAGACACCACATCGGGTACCACTCCTGCCAGCTACGAACAGGGACCCGAAACTGATCAATGGAAGAAAAATGGAAAAATGTTGCTTTTTCTGAGAAATCTTGATTTCTGCTGCAACATTCCACCATGAAAACATGGCTCCATCCAACCAGCCATGCCGCTGCTAGTGGTTTAATGGGGTTTCTTTGCACACTTTGGGCGTTTGAGCATCGTTTCACACTACAACCCACATGAGCATTGTTGTTGACCATGTCCATCCCTACAGTGTTCCCTTTTTCTGATGGCTGCTTCTAGCAGATTAACACAGCATGTCACAAAGCTCAAATCATCTCAAACTGGCTTCTTTCACATGATCAGTTTACTGTACTGACATGGGCTCCACAGGCACCAGATCTCAGTCCAATAGAGGGCACTTTGAACAGGAAATTTGCATCATGGACGAGGAATGTTTCCAGCACCTTGTTGAATCGATGCCACAGAGAATTAAGACAGTTCTGAAGGCAAAAGAGAGACTGGCCCGCTACTAACAAGCCGTAACACATGAAGTGGCTGGTGAGTATATGCAGTGCCTTTCTAATTTCCTAGTTTTCTGTGTTTATTTTTTACAATTTTGCCACACTTGGAGTTTCAGGTCATTAAAATGATTTTAATATTAGACAGCAATAGCCCATGTAGTCACAAAATGCTGTTTTTTAAATGATAAATGGTCAGTCAACCAAAAATTACTCCAAGAGCACATTGATGACTCAGGTCCCGTAAGAGCAAACATTCTAAAAAATGTTTTTATTTGTGGAGAAAAAGAATAGTTAGTATTCAGTAATCGACTCTATAACACAAACAACAATAAAAATCACTGAAAGACGTTTAGTGTGGCAGCTACAAAATGGGCTTACATTGCGTTAAATGTGCAAATCCTCTCAAGTTATGTGGTCACAACATTAAGTTTAAACAACAAAGCAGCTACTTAAAGCCCACAGTTAACTGCTTCTTAACGTCCCTGGAGCTGCAGCAAAGACTAAAGTCCCAATCACAATAGGTTTAATTATTAGGGTTACCGAAATGCACGAAGAGGGCAGCTCATTATGTTTCAAAACACTTCACATGGGCCATCATTTCTTTCCAGAAACATTAAATGTTTTATCTTGTTGACTTGATCTCTTTTAAATGTTGATGATGTTTCCTCCCTTGAAGAATAGATTTTTTCCACTACACAGAAATTGGAATCCAACACAACCTCTGCCCTGCCCAGCACGCTGGCACAGGGCCCACGGCGAAGATTGATGCCAAACTAGCTAGCCTGGAGTGAGTAGACATCAAAGCCTGCCCCAGGGAATAGTTGTAGACAGACTACATGAGCTTTTTCCAGACACACGGGACATCTCTTGCAAACACACACCACTGATGGAAAACTGGCCATATAATTCGTTTGATTATTGATTTTCTGACTATTCCAGTAGACAACAAATTGGCCTAAAGCGGCAAAACGCTGCTGCACAGACGAAGTATCACTCAGACAGCAACTTTATAAGTGCTGGATAGAAAAAGATGGGCATCTGGCTCCCAAGACCTAACCATCCAAGTGGGAGGCATGTTTTGTTGGACTGCATATCCTGATGCGACTGAAAAATACCAAGTGATTAAAATATCTAAATTTATAACTGACTTTTTTCTTGTTACTGCCAGAAGCCATAATGAAGTTGACCTAAACTGACTGGTAAGAAGTGCTTTGCAGTATCCAGCAATGTGGTAATTGTGTTCTCACAGCATTATAACATCTACTGTCCAGGATAATAAGGTACGTGAAATGTTCAAGACTGTTATTTGGCAGAACCAACTGATACCTGTATTTGCGACAAACCAAATAATCCTCATAGTCACTCAAAGTTGTCTTATGAGCTAATTTAAAAAAAAGAAACTTTCTTACTTCATGCAAACCACCCTCACTGCAGGAGGTGTGATATATATTTCCCAACCTTGTTTTCAAGCCAAAATTTAATTAGGGCAAGCATCCTCTAAACTTTACACACACACACACACACACACACACACATCTATCTATCTATCTATCTATCTATCTATCTATCTATCTAGATAGATAGATAGATAGATAGATAGATAGATTTTAATTAGTTGTCAGACCAATTTAGTGCCTGTAAATGAGTGAGCAGTTTTACCATATTGTGTAGCTTTTAGTCTTTACTGGATAGGTAGGAGTGAGTTCTCACAACTACAAAGCATAGGTCAAAATGTCATATTTAAGTTGTGACAACATGTAAGAAATTTGAATCCTTTTGTTCTTTGCTACTATAAATTGAAGTAGCCTGTGGAGTCTTTTCTGTATGAACATCTGATTGAACATTTAACCTACACAGTGTCACTGCAGTGATACTAACGCTAATAAAAAAAATTACTGTACTTAAAGTTTTAGTAAATGTCATTTGAGAAGGTTATCAGTGACAGCTAAAGGTCCTGAGAAGAGAATGGGACCATGCTGAATCCATCCTTATGTTGAAATGTCCCGATAATGTTGGATTTCTGGTCGTCTACTTCTAAGCCCTGGATTTTTATTCATGCAAAAAAATGACTTACCCAGTCTGCGCTCTACATTTACATTATTCAGCAGCTGTAGAAACACTAACAAATCACGTATGTAACAATGGGTGGGCTTGTTGAACTTAAAAACATTTTTACCTTAATATTTAATAAAAGGTTTACTGCAAATTCACTAAAAAATATGTGCAAGGGCTCATGAATCCAGCCTTCAAACGGCTGAAAACAGGGATTAGAAAATGACTGAACCCGCAGCCCAAAATTCACAGCCGAATAAACTTTCAAACATTGCAAAGAAAAAAAGAGAAACAGTAAAAGTTCAACCTGAAGGTTGCCTTTTATGCTGTCCAGTTCCTTTGAAGTCTTGGAGAGCTGGTGCAGAATGCTGCTTCGTTCAGTGAAGACTTCCTTTAGCTTCTTTTCCAGCCCATCGTAACTTTGTCTGTTGAGAGAATGAAGGAATGAAATTTCACTATTAAGTGTCTGCCACTAGCTAAAAAAAATCCACTCTTTATTGGCACCCTTAGGAGAACGAGGTGTTTCAACTAGATTAAGAGCAGCATCGTTAAGGCTAAAGGGTAGAGCAAAAAGAGAGAAACCTAATATCTACTCGGCACAGTCTACGACAGAAAGATGGGGGGGAAAAAATCTTCTATTCCTTTCAATCAACCAATTTAGTGAAGGCTCGTTTTACAGAGATAGGTCTTTTGACTAGAGGTATAACCCTGCATTTCCATTTAAATATTCATGTAGTCCAACCAATTATTAAGGAACAAATTCTGCAGGGCACATTTGTCAAATCCTGTGTTTCCCTTTTCAAACTCTATTGAACGGCAGTGCAGAGGCGTTCTTGTCATTTGTTACTGAGCTTCCAGAGAGGCAAATAATATTTCACAGCATGTTTGCATGAACTATAGCCCTAATAAAGATATTATTTTTCATTCTTAATGACACACTATAATCCCCACTGAGAGATCTACTAAAGATCAGGGCACAAAAAAGTGATTAAGGGGCCATGGTGAGCAGATACAAAATCAGCAATAGCCTAGGACTTGACTAAAATATGTGTTATATTTGGCTTTTGGCAGCTAAAGATAACAACATAATTTCCATCTTGCTCCCTTAATTGAGTTAAAAGACTTCCAATTTACTACACGTTCACTTTCACTGTTGGAAAACGTCTAATAAATAAAATAAATAATCTAATAACGGAAAATCTATTTTTCATTTAATCTAACATCCTTGTTTACTGACTCAAGGAGACAACTCTTCTGGGAGGTGTTTGAAATTAAGCATATCTGAATGTAGTTACCCTGCAAATAAAATAGCCCAGAGGTTCTAATTCCCCCTAAAGCCTGCAAATTTGATTACTGTGATGACCTCTTGAGTTTAATTGGGATGGTTTAAAATAGCAGTCACAAAATAGCCCATCTGCTGTACCTCTGGACTTTGGATAGGTGCTGGAAAAAAATACACACACACGGACACATTATATACACATATATACTTTTAACATGTTTTTTTCCACTTTTGTGGAGCAAAATCTCCCAGGGACCCCCTCATAACCCTAACATCTATTTCTCTGGGCTTAGCATTTCTACAGCGTGGGCTGTCTCAAACACTTCTCCATGCGTACCAGTTAGATAAGTCAAGTTATGCAGCAGTAGCAGCAGTAATGGTTCCTTGGACCCTGAGAGAAATGAGTGATTTGTAATCATATTGACATAATGTGTCACCGTGATTTTAGAGCTGAGGCTCAAAGATAATGTATGAGGCAGTAATGCGCACAGCATGCTTGATTTATTGGTATTAATGATCCCAATCTGTATATCTGCCCTGTTTTTGTGATACAGTACAATTTAAGAATTTCTGACAAATTATTTTTGGGGACCAAAAGTCTATGGGTCACAGATCAAGTTTATTCCAACAACATGAAAAAAATGAAAAAGGAAGAGAGATGGAAAAAAAAGTTTGGATGGCATTTTTTTTTCTTGATGCATTTCATGAGATAGGGTTACTAAGAAATAAAACCAAGTTAAATATCTGAACCATCATATGGAGAAGAAAAGAAACAACCCTAACACAGCTTGTTAAAAAAGATATTTACTTTTTCCATGGCACAACTGAAAAGACCAAAAGAATTTTCTCTGCTCACTTCTTTACATTATCAGAAATGCTGAAGGACAGCACAAGCATATGAACTTAACCTAGATGTTTAACTTAACATAGCCATTTGTTGCTAAATACTTGCTGGGTAGCCACAAATCTTCTCAATTGCCCGTCTCTCTTTACATGAATCACTACTACAAAATGTTGCTGACCATTCCCTATTCCTGACCGTCCTAGCATCACTCGACTGCTACAATATTCTGTACCCATGGCTGTGTTTCAACTCGGGCCGTCTTCCAAAAAACCCTCCACAACCCATGTCATAGATCCCAGACGGAGATCACACACAATAACACATAAATCACTAACAGAAAAGCAACACCTGGGAAATAAATAAATAACATGGCATATTGAATCCCACACATGACTTGGTACCATATGGCAATGGCAGGAAATTTATTACAGGTTCAAGCAACAGGGGGAAGATGGGGTGAGCGAGCCCTCCCTGTCTGCCATAATATTCATTACCCAATGGAATAGACCCTTGGGTAGCTGTGAAATGAATAAGACCCACAATTTGAGGCCCATTGACGCAGAAACATGTATATTACAAGCTTCTGAGATGAAGTCTGATTATTTTTCTTCCCAATCTACTATAAACTGCTCATTAGAGAAAACAAATGGTAACAGCTGCATGATTGTACCATGACCTCCCAAGAGTTCAGTGTTCTAGCTGGGTTCTGTGAAACAAAGATCGCCTTTTTTTGCAATTCAGTGACGTTAATGACGATAATGACAACCAGAATGCCTGACAAATGCTTGACAAAAAAAGCCTTATGGTCAGAAATGGCACCACCAAGCACGTGGTCATAAAGCCATGGTGTTTGAGATAATGAAATCTTTCTTTCCAGGCATCTGCAGATTGAAATCAGTATTTGGCTGCCTTTATGATACTCATCAAACTCCTGAGATTGCGAGGGAGGCATCTCTTATAGGATCTGATTATTGAGGACAAATATTTCTTTGCCCTTGGAGTCACAGCAGGTCTCTGAGTTATATGAGGCAGACCCTGCAGTATGAAATGGAACTGCAGAGGGTAAGGGAGACAACACTGAACATTAGAGTCAACATCCAAGCAATGGCTCAATAAAAGGTATCCAAGGTTGCGTTGTGCAATCATAGAGAGATATAGTACAGGAGCTCATGGTCCACTGTTAATAGGAGATGGACTATGAATATTTTTCATTTTTCAAGTGCCTCAAGTCACGCTTTATAATTGGTTTTCTACTAAGTTGTCTGTTGTGTGTGGAAACAAAACTGTTTCATCCCTTGAGTTAAGTGCTTCTTTATGCTTAAATGATTTACAGAAACATTCCTCTGGATATATAAGAAAAAAAATCAAAGGCTAAATTGAAAAAGTTAGTGAAAAAGCAGCCAATGTCTAAGGAAAAACTTAGAGCCTAAAGCCCAAGAATACTTAAAAAACACAGAAATTGTAAAGAAATGTAGTCCTTGTAAGCAAAATATAAATAAATAAAGAATGGCTCAAATCTGTACTGTATATAATTAATGAGTAATCTATATCAAGTATTCATAGTGCTAAGATTTGAATGTAATACTGGACAGTATTGCCTGCTATACTGTGTTGTGTGACAAGCATCTGTCGATTGTCGTTACCTTATTTGAACTTTGTTTTAATATTGTGCATTGCTCATAAGTGGATGAACTGTGGAATTATAAACAGCTTAAAACCTACTTTAAAATATTTTTTTTCATGTAAAAAAAAAAAAAGAGATCAGTAAAACATACAATGAGGAGGATATTTTCTACCACTGTCTGGTTAGAGATTAGCAGCATTCATGGAAGATATATGAATAAATACACAAAATATGATAAATAAATCAATTTAAACGTCTGTGTGTAAGCAGGTCTCTCCCTCCCCAACAGGAATTCAGTTATTTATGGAAAATCTGTAGGAGGGAGTCACTGGTTCAGACAAGGACAAATTAAAGGATCCCTCTGGGCTTAGTGTCTTTGGATGTTTCTTTACTACCAGATGTTTCAACACCCACTCACAGCTGAATTGGGTCTCTGTCATTCTTTCAGCTCACCTGTCAACTATGCAGATAATTCGATGATCAAAATAAACATCTAGCCAAAAGGTTTCTTAAACTCTGTTTTTCCTTGAAGTTTACTCCCAAATTGCTGCTGGGAAGCCTTATGGTGTATTTCTCCCCAGGTATTATTTAGTGTCCCCTGCAACCTGGCGTGTCAATTGATGTGTCAGAGGGATGTGATATAGCACCCAGACAGAAAACATAATTACCCATCAGTTGTGACAGCAATCTTGATATGATAAGTTGGCTTATTTGCAAAGGTCTTATTTGTCAGCAAGCCTTCATAATTACTAAATGTGCACGAGTACACCGCAAAAAAATGTTCAATACTTGATTCATTTCTGTGTGGATGAATTAAAAGAACTTTGGAGAAAGACCTAAGTTGCCATATTTTTCTTTTTCGGTATAGAAAACTAAGATTAGCTAACAGCATTTGAACAGCATGGTATCATAAAAACATAAGGATGTATAAAAAATGTCAGTTTTTACGTCAATGTTTTTACGATACATAACTATCTGATTAATATGTATATAAAAAAAACAAAGTCCATATTCATCCGTGACCATTTCTTCCAGTTCTTGGACTAGAAAATAAAACTACACACCAAAAGCAGACAGGCGTGCCAGCAAGCTAAAACACCATGCTATGTCTCTGACTGCAGGACCAAACTTGAACATTTAATATTTTACAAGGAAGCCACCACAGAAGCCAATAGCTAGCATAAAAGGAGTTCATTTGCCGTCATGCAGATTATGAGCAGACAGCGGTTTATGTGGTACTACCAATTTCAGGCTGGATTAATTATGCCATTAGAAGGGGGGTAAATAAATACTTTTAATAGCAGGGAGAGCCCAGGGCCTGTCAGCGAATTAATATATTCCTCTAGCAGAGCATGACCACCATCCAACATCTGCAACAAAAGTCAGTCATGTTTACCAGCTGTTGTATAAACAATGCAGACAGCAGGGAATATTAATTGCATGGATGTCAGGGATGCCTGACACTACCATCTTCGTTAACTGTTTAGTTGGGGGATAAAGTGAAACAATTTGTGATGAGGAAGTCAATTTTTGCTTAGTCAGGAAAGGTCAAAACAATTCAGAGACCTCAATCATCTCAACATTTCAGGACATGAAGATTCTATATGCATTTGACATTTCACTAAACGCAACACAAAAAGTCATAAACATGCAAATTGAATCAGCACTTAGAGGA